TTAGTAGAGACGGGGTTTCACCATGTTGACCAGGATGGTCTCGATCTCTTGACCTCATGATCCACCCGCCTCAGCCTCCCAAAGTGCTGGGATTACAGGCTTGAGCCACCGCGCCCGGCCTCCTTATATAAAATTTTTAAAGTAATTATTTGTTTTGATCCTTAAGACATTTTGACTTTGACTTCTGAATATACAAATGTTAAATATGATACTTTTAGGTGCATACTGTTTCTTTTATAACTTAGAGTTATTATACATAGAAATTTGCAGAAGTTACAATATATAATCATGTTATAGTGAGGGTTCTCAGAGAAACAGAACCAATAGTATGTATATATACAGGAAGGGAAAAGAGATTTGTTTTAAGGAATTTGTTCATGTAGTTGTGGGGGCTGGCAAGTTCAAAATCTGTAGGAAACTCAGGGAAGAATTGATGTTGCAGTCTGAGTCTGAAGGCAGAATTCTGTCCTTCCTCAGAGGACCTCTGTGTTTTCTCTTAAAGTCTTTAACTGATTGAATGAGGCCCAGCCACATTATAGAAGGTAATCTGCTTTACCCAAAGTCTACTGATTTAAATGGTAATCAAATCTAAAATATAACTATAACTGTATAAATATAACAATATTATACAGTAATTATGAGTATATGTTATATATTATATTAATATTATAAAATATAACAGTAACATCTGGACTGGTGTTTGACCAAAAACTAGGTCCCATGACCCAGCCAAGTTTACATAAAATAACCAACATATCCTGTTTTTCTTGTTTTCTTTTTATCCCTATTACAAATTATAATTTGAGAAAAGTACATATATCATAAATGTACTATGTAATGATTATTACAGTTTAGTCATCAACAAGTCAAGAAATAGAATTATACTATTTTTTTCCTTCAAAAATAGGTATTGATCACTTACACAGTTAGCAAAGATTTTGAGAGGGATGCAAAGACAAATCAGATAGTAATCCTGTCCTCATATGCTTATAATTTAACAAGGAGAGAATAATATATACATTACTAATTATAATAGAAGATTAAGTGAAAATGACCTGGTAGGGTTATAGATAAAATGCTATAAGAGTTCCAAGGAAGAAGAAATTACTTTGGAGTTAGATCAGGAAAGAATGTTTAGAAAATTTGGGCCTTAAAAGGTAGGCTTTGAATAGATGGAATGCAACATGTCTGTTATAATTCTTGTAATTTATAGTCTTCAGGCTTTGTTTGTATGCATATATGTATATTATATAAGTATAATCTTAAATATACAGTATGGGAGATATTATATAATTAAATGGCATTTTAAAAGAACACTTTATTCCTAGATTTAGAATATTCTTTCCTACCACAAGTAGTATTATTTGATTTATTCTAATCTGTTTAGATTTGACTTTTTCTTAAATACCGGAATTGAGTTTCTATTTAACTTGATCAAGCAGATTACCAGAAGTCAATTATTATTCTTCAATTAGTCACAGTTTGTTCTCCCTCAAGTTCTACCACTCAAATGTGCAGTACCTGTTGCAAAAGTAGGAGAACCAAAACGAAGTGGAATGGAATTGATTGGTTCTACTAATGCAGTTGCCTTTCATTATGATAAAACATTATAAAACCTCTTAGGGGAGTCTGTCAATATTGTTGCCATTTTATGTTAGAAGAAAATGAGTTTATTGAGAAACTATATAATTTTATATATTCACAGTCTTTTGTAGATTATTTTCTTAGAAGATAACATCAATAAGTATGGGTTATCCTTAATTTCACATGTAAAAGAGGATAATAGTACCAAATTCAGGATGTTTAAGGATTAAGTGAAATTATCCACATGAAGCACTAAGTAACCTGTCTGTCATGTAGCAAGAGCTCAGAAAATGGTAGTTACATGGGAATTAATGATGCTGTCATTATTATTGTCTACATCAACACTTGGGATATTCTTCTAAAATGCAAACCTAAGTACAGACAGTCCCCAATTTCAGATGGTTCAGCTTTATGATGGTACAAAAGCAATATTTGGTAGAACTCGTACTTAAAAGTTTGAATTTTGACTCAAAAATTTTTATAATTATTTAAAAATAGGCTTTGGGCTGAGCATGGTGGCTCACACCTGTAATCCCAGTACTTCAGGAGGCTGAGGCAGGCAGATCACCTGAGGTCAGGAGTTCGAGACCAACCAGACCAACATGGTGAAACCCCATCTCAACTGAAAATACAAAAATTAGCTGGACATGGTGGCACATACCTGTAATCCCAGCTACTTGGGAGGTTGAGGCAGGAGAATTGCTTGAACCTGGGAGGCAGAGGTTGCACTGAGCCAAGATAACACCATTGCACTCAAGCCTGGGCAACAAGAGTGACACTTCATCTCAAAAAAGAAAAAAAAAAAGGCCGGGCACGGTGGCTCATGCCTGTAATCCCAGCACTTTGGGAGGCCGAGGCGGGTGGATCACGAGGTCAAGAGATTGAGACCATCCTGGTCGACATGGTGAAACCGCGTCTCTACTAAAAATACCAAAAAATCAGCTGGACATGGTGGTGCGTGCCTGTAATCCCAGCTACTCAGGAGGCTGAGGCAGGAGAATTGCCTGATCCCAGGAGGCGGAGGTTGCGGTGAGCCGAGATCGCGCCATTGCACTCTAGCCTGGGTAACAAGAGCGAAACTCCGTCTCAAAAAAAAAAAAAAAAAAAAAAATAGGCTTTACATTAGATGATTTTGCCCAACTGTAGGCTAATGTAAGTGTTCCAAGCACATTTAAAGTAGGATATAAGGTTATATCCTTATAACTAAGATAAGTTATACTGTTCAGTAAGTTAGGTGTATTAAATAAATTTTCAATTTATAATGGGTATTTTGGGATGTAACCCAATCGTAAGTCAAGAAGCATCTGTATACTAAAAGACTTACGATGGCTCTTAATTGCTTATTGAAACAAATTAAATTTTTTGATAACCTCGAAGCAATTATTTTTATTTTACCCCCCCCCCAGCCTTATATTTCTCACTGTAGTTTTGTCAGATACACCTGTACTTCTCCCCAGCTCCATCTCCCATCTTTACCCTCATCTCCTACCACACTGATGCTCAGGGCACACTGTGTGTCCAGCTAAGTCATATTCATTATTCCTGAATGCCCTTCTTTTTCAGTCCCATGTTGTTACCCCAATAATGCCCATCTCTACTTTTTTCCACCTAACATACTCATTATTCATAGCCCAAATACCCTTTGTTTAAGAAAAAAAAAAAACCTCCTTTACTATGCAAAACTATTGTTCACACTGCCTCAAAACATTTTATTATAGGGCTTAACTGTGTATGTACATATTAGCAAGTCTTACTTATCCTCCTTGTTTCACTAACTTCCAGCACAGTGCCTAGCCTATGGTAGATGGCTAGTAAATTATTTTAAGTATCTATGCCTTTGAAGTTTATATTTATTATCATGGATTTTTTTTAAGATGGAAAACCCCCAAATATTTTTTGTAGTAACTTATACTTTGTGATTTGTATTAGAATAGGCTACAAATCTTAAGAGTTGGCTGGGTAGGTAAGAATAAAAAACCTAGTATCAGTGAAAATTGCCTCTGATACATGAATAAGCCAGACTAGCACACACGCAAAGATTTTTTTTTTTTTGACTGCTTAATCAGTAGTATATTTTTTATTAGAGGCTGTTACTGAAGATAATTTTCAGGTATCATTAATGAAGGTTTTCACTTCATTTGGGGTTGGGAGATCTCTTAGGGAGAAAAATGAGCTAAGACACCTCTGACTTGATGGCAGTGACAGATAGCGTGGGGAGGATACATCTTGGTGTCCCCTGCAAGAAGGAGGCAGCTTGAGGCTGAGCCCTGAAGGCTGACACTTTTTGCTGTAAGGCAAGGAAAGTGGTAGCAACAGGAGAGCAATAGGGGGCAGCAATGGGAGTCTAGATGCTGATAAGGTTTCCAATTTTGCTGCTTTAACATTTGTACCAACTACGTTAGTGATACCATTAGGAGCTCTGAAAATTTTGTGCCATTTGTTCTTCATGCTTTCTATGAAGGTCTTAAATATTGTGGACAAATTTATTAGTTGTTAAATTGATTAGTTGTTAAATCAACTAAGATCTATAGTTATGGTCATTCATTCTCTTCAAAAGAAGAGAAGATAGTTCTTCAAATAAAATGTCTCATCAGCTAAGTGATCCAGGTTTTGTGGTCTTTGAAATGCTCACAGCCATTGTGCCACTGGTATTAACCATTGTAGTAAGATCTCTAAGACCAAACATTCTTCTTTACCTAACAATCTGCTCTGTAATTAGAGGATTAAAATGTCCTGTATTCAGCCAGCCGCAGTGGCTCACAGCTGTAATACCAGCACTTTGGGACCTCAAGGCGAGCAGATCACTTGAGGCCAGGAGTTCAAGACAAGCCTGGCCTACATAGTGAAACCCCATCTCTATTAAAAATACAAAAAATTAGCCGGGCATGATGGCCCACCCCTGTAATCCCAGCTACTTAGGAGGCTTGAGTCATGAGAATTGCTCGAACCCAGAGGCGGAGGTTGCAGTGAGCCCAGATTGCGCGACTGCACTCCAGCCTGGGCAACAAAGTAAGAGTCTGTCTCCAAAAAAAAACACTTTTGTATTAAAGACACGGCATTACAATTTTACAGTTAAAGAATTTTTTGCTGTGCTTAAACATCTTCTTGGCCTGGATTTTGCTGCCAAGCCTTGTAGTCTTTGTAGTCTGTATATACAGAGTAATTATTTAAACAGGGGCCCCATATATGTGACACACTTCTACAATGACTCTAATATATTTTTGATTATGTCAGTTTTAATTTGTTTAGCTATTCTTTTCAGAAAATGGCAGTATATGCCTGTTGATGATGTTACTGTATTTCAGAGGTACTACATATCTTTAAAGATGGTAGTTTTGGTCTAGCAAATCTATGTCCTTTCAAAAAGCAATAAATGTGAATCTCTGATGTGTAACAACTTTGTGATAATAATAAAGAAAGTTTATTCTGTATGAAATAGCATTGTATCTTAATGTTCTCTAGAGACAATCTTTAAGGTTTTACTACTATTGACCAATAATTACTTACAGTTCAGCTGTGAGAGCTCACAAAAAATGACTTTATTACATGGCCAGTTTCTATTTCTGTTAATTAACATTGTTTTAATTCTAGAGATATTTTCAATTTTCATCTTCTACCAAGAACTTAATGCACTAATGATAAACTTAAGCAGTTTAGGATCATTCATTTATTAGAGCATACAGTCTGGGGCCGGATGGAAAGAGAGCTCCATGAATGTATGAATGCAGTGCACTCTTACCAGAGTCCTGCAATAGTGATATATACGAGAAGGATGGTAAAGGTGATTAATTTTAAGTGGGAGAGGATAGTAGGGTGAGAGGATGCATATTAGAGGCATGGCTTTATCATGGAAGAATTCTACTAATACTTCAAAGACACATGGGACTTTTCCAGGCAGACATGGTCAGGGAAGAGTTTTCTAGGGGTAAGAAGTGGTCATGGAGGCATAAAAGTGTGATATAGTCAATAAATAAAAGGAGTTCAGTACTACTGGATGATATAAAAGGAAGAGTAGTGACAGATAAAGATCAAGAAATAGGTCAAAACCAGATAATGTAGTCAAGCAGAAAGAAAATCAGCATAAATATGGTTTTCTAATGCTATTGATGATTTTATGGCAGCCAGTGTCTAAGGTAACAATTCCTTCTGCTTTTGTGTGTTTTTTACTTTTTCACTAGTGGAACAGTTACAGTTTGAATTTCTTTTCATTTTCTAGCAAAGCCTTTCCAAAATGTTTATTGATCATTATTTTCATAAAGTCTTTATGATAATTAGTTAAGCAATAATTGCCAGTCTAATAGCACTAATAGCCAGTGTTACTTAATGAGACTAAAAAGGTCTCTAAATATTTGGTAATATTTATACATATGTATCATTTTTTAAAGTGCAACTGAGATTTTCATATTTCTTATGATAGACTCATGATAGACTTCATTCTTGCACAACAATCCTTTAAACTTTACCTATGAGGTACTTTTATACAGTTATTGTCTTTACACATTATTACAGTTTTACATGTTATTGATGAATAAAAGACTTTTGTCCTAGTCTTATAATACATTGGCTTCATGGCAACAACAACAACAACAAAAATACCAAAAGAAAGCATTACCACCATCTTCTCTGTTTTGTCAAATTTAGATGCCAGTCTGGACAGGTGGGTCATATCACAGTGCCGGAGAAGAACCAGAACTCATCAGGGCATGGACAAACTGCAGTATTCCCTAAAAACAACCAAACTTGAAGTTTGCTTCTATCTTTATCAACTCCTCACCTATGCTGGAATAGGGATTTTTTTTTTTCTGTATTAAAACCCTGTGATGTTGCAGTTAGTAATGATTGTGCACTGCTCTACTCACATTATTGTTCACCACACCTATTACATAATGTACTAGTTTTATTGTAGTCTTTGTTTAAATATGAAAACAACTGTAGATTCAGATGCTGTTTGGGGATTTCAAAGAGCAAAGAAAAAAAGGATATAAAGCTGAAATTGGTCTTTAAACATGTTTGACATAGGAATTGAAGTGCTTTTCATTCATTCTTTTCATAGACTAAACATAGGCCTTTTGATATTAAATTTTTAATAACTATAATGAAATTAAAATTAAACTATGGGTCACAAATCTATCCATTTTCTTCTAACTGCTGTTTCTCTCAAACACTAGAATACTGCCTATTTAAATCTTAACTTTTGCTTGCCAAACCACTGTTACCGTCCATCTGTTCATGCCAATTGTAAAGAAGGTTCAGTTTTTAGTGAAGCTTTGCATTTCACATAAGGTATGTGAAGTGAAATTTCACAAGGGACATGATGGATCCTGATTCTTAGTGATAAACCTTTGGGGCCATCAGGGTTGGCATATGGTCCACTATGATATGAAGGCTTGGGTTCCCTGGCTTCACTTCTTTGGCGTGAAGCTGATAAAACCTGGCTCTTGAGTATTATTTCACTGGACACCAATCATGGGCAGCAGGAACTGCCCATTTAACTCTCTGTGGGAAGGAAGCCCAGACAGCATTCACAATGGTACCATTGTCGAGTTGCAAACTGCTCTGAACAGCTTGACAGCACTAGGGAGGAGGGGAAGGGGTTGCTTTACTAATTGCTGTTCAGAAGAGAAGCAGCAAAAATAGCTGTTGCAGAACTGATGTTTCTACATTTACTTACTCTCTTGATAAGAATGTTGACTTTTATTTAGCACATAGCTGCTATCAAAAAAAAAAGCAAATGAATATATTTAAGCAGCCACCTGTAGTAATTCCTTGTTAACATGCCATTATCTATTTTTAGCCCATCATATTATTGCAGAGCAAAAGTCAATTTTGTCTTAATGATTTTTTTATTAGATGAAAATAAGGAATTTTTTATTTTCATAAGAATTTAACTGAGGTGAAGTGGATAAAATTATCACAATTCATATGTCAGATAAGGTTATAAATTTGGTTTAATTTACACTTTGCTTTTTAGGATTCCTGAATGCCATCTGAATACATATAAACGATATTAGTATAGAAATGCAAACTAACTTTCTACATAGCACAAGTGCTAAAATAATCCACTAAAGATAAACTAGTCAGCACATCTTAAAGTTAAATGCCAGATTTATTATTTGAGTAGCTCATAACTATTTCAGTCATGTATGATTATCTCACTCATTGAATTCCCTCTGGTTGGATTTTTTTTTTAATGTGAGGGTTGTTTCCTTTTTTATAAAATATTGTATGCCCTGATATTTATATAAACACTCCTCTTGACCTGTTTTCTTCTAGTCAGCTTTGTCAGCCAGCAGTTGGGTAGTTCTGTTGCAAAAAAACAATGATCTACAACCTGAAAAAAAAATTAGTGCTTATTTTCGGACTCCAGGGATTCTGACCCCATAGATGATTCTTTTTTTCTTTCGGCTGAAATGAAATTGACTAAATTATATTGCAGTAACAATGATTTATGTAGCATCTTCTTAAATAGGATAAGGAAGAGATATTTTAAGAAAACTTTTAAAACAGTAAAGTTTTGTAACAGGATGCTCTTGCTAGATTTGGGGAAGTTCAAGTGCATGTTTTGTAAAATTAGAAAATCTGTAACATTTACTAGTATTTCGTATCTTGTGTTCTCTTAAGTAATTTTAGTAAATGGGCACACCAGTGCAGTATTTCAAAAACAGTAATTCATTGAATGCCCATTCTTCCTTTTACTGCAGAATAGATTATATTTAAGTCAAGATTAATGGATAGATTTTGATGTTAAAGTCCAGTGTCTAAGCCTGTCATTCCCTGGGGGCATATAGTGCATTAGTTTAAGCCAATGTACTGCTTATCATAGATTCTATGACACTGTCTTAAATGACAGTTCACTGTACTTTGTTTCTACTTACTATAATAATGAAATCACTTTTTTTGTATTCCCAATAATTATAGCACTTAAACAAAAATCTTAATTAAATTAGTGCACATTTAGTTAGAGATAACACTTAAGTAATTGTACACTGTAAAATTTCACTTATTTGGTTTTTGTTTTGTTTGGTTTATTTTTGGGTTTTTTTTTGTTTTGTTTTTTTCCTTTTTGCAGTCTTCTGACAGGGTCCAAGTTTAGTATTTTGCTCAAATACTTTTGTTTCTTCAACTTTAATGTACTAAAAATTATGTTCTTAAAAAGAACAACACACAAGATTGTTTCTAGTATCCTCCCAATGTTTTTTTAAACTCTTAAGCTAATACTAGTGATTTTCAAGCAGTTCTCTGTTGACTTTGAAAGTCTCATTATTACTAAATTAATGATAATGTTTTCAAGTAGATCTTTCCAAGAATGAGAGTACATTATGATTTCACTAAATTTGAAATCCAGATAACCTAGTGTTTCTGTTTTGCTTCATAAAACTTTCATGAAAGTAGAATGTGTGTATATATATATATATATATACACACACACACACATACAGATATTGGATAATCATATTAGTGCATTTTGAAACCCACCAATGATTATTGGATTATTAAATCAGGAAGGATTTTCAGAGCCTTTAGGTAAGTTTAAATTTTTAAGCCTATTTATTTAAGGTTAATCTTTTTAAATGTATTTACACAAACTTTGGTGGAATTGGGCTTATCAACTTTTTACTTAATGTTTTCATTTAGTAATTGACTGATTTATGAGCAATTATATGTGTTCCAAATTTTATTCAACTCCAGCTTTCAATTTCTGTATCCTCACACTGCCTTAGCACCTGTTATGGATTTTGAGTCATCTGGCAGCCCATGGGACTTAGATAAAGAAGTACCAGGTGTCCTGCCTGTCTCCTAATTGAGACGCAGTGAAAACAATATAGACTTGGCAATATGGTTAAAAGGATGGATTAAAGCCCAGCTTTGTCTGCTCTGACAAATCACAGCTTTTCCTTCATGGTGTAGATAGTATCAACCACTGAAGAATTTCATGAATATAAGGCATCATAAAAATAGACAATAATTTGTCATAACCTGTTGCAGACTTTCAGAAGAATTTTTATTAACATAGTGTAAATAAGCAATATTAATAACGAGATTCATGCTATTTGTTTAGGGAAATTTTATTTTTTACTACATATAAACTAGACTGCATGTTTCTGGAAGAAGTTAGTTACAGTAGGAAAGATGGAATATCCTTCCCTCTGCCAGATCCTAATTTATCAGATTTTGCTTTATAAGGTAAGCAGTAGAGTTTGCTTTCATCTTATAAATGAACAATGTCTATTAGTTCATGAGACACTAATTATCCTGTGTATTTCAGAAAACATGGCACTTTACTACTGATAATAACCATGAGATCCTTGAGATGTACTTGCAAAGTATGTCTACCCATATGCTATGTCTCAATAAAATTCTTATTTTTCATTCTTTTTTCAAGACCCTCTGTAATGATATTGCCTCAGAATATTTAAAGATATTTCAAGGCCTTTTAAACTGAAGTGTCAAATGTGGTTTGTTTTCTCATCTTTATTTTAGAACATGCAAGGGGTTTTACTGTAGTATAGTCACTATAGTAAATTACAGTAAATATTATTTAACATATAAACAAACATCTTTCAAAAATTGCCAGTCTTAGAATTTAAGCTAATATTCATTATTTTGAGATAACTAAAAGGCCTTTGCTTTTTCACCACGCAACACCCAAGTCATTGAGATTGGATGTAGAGAAAGCATTGGACTATTAATTGAAAGACCAAGATTTTAGTCCCATCTCTATCTGTCAGCAGCTTTGTTTATCCAAGCAAATATTTGTACTTTCTATTCAGGCTAGCCTTATTGATGCCTATAAACATTAGTAAAATAAACTAATTTTACTAAGTTTCCTGAAAGCAATGTTGATGGGTGTATCCTTCCTTTAGTTCAAATTGTCCTAAATATTCTCAATAAATGATGCCTTGTCTTGGGATAACCTCTTTTAAGATGGCCTTTTCAAAAACCTAACTATAACATTTTTCAAGTATTATTTTTCAAGGGTATTATCACTTCTATTCTTATGATATACAGAGCAGTTTTGGAAATCTGCCTAAAATGATTTGAAATTACCCGTCATTTAATTTTCCTTACAGAGATTTTCTCATTCTTCCCCTTTTTCCCTTCTCTATAAATGGCCACTTAAGCAAATAGAATTTGTTTGACTAAATTCATTGTCTCATACCATTGTAGAATTTATGAAAAAATTTTAAACTTTTAAGAAATTATCACAATCAATGGGGGAAATATTTAGTTCAATGCTAAATTATGAGTTATAATTACATTGCATAAAGAAAAAAATCTTTAAGATTATGAGGATTTATAGAAGTAATTATCAGTTTTCTTTTTCTTTTCTCTTAATGTAGTACTTTACATATTTATATATTGTGCTTTAGTCACTTTTTTTTTTTTTTTTGGTTCCAGAGAGGGCCAGCAAAATCAAAGGGCACAGTAGAACAAAAATTTTTCTCACAAGGAAGATTCAAACTCTAAATCCAGTCCTAGGAAAGTTTCAACTACATTTGCCCCAAAAAGGTTTGCCTTTATGGAACCACATTGGGATTAGAGGAAAGGGGCGTCAGTGTGACAGACACCTCCTAATCTACTATCAAACCAACTTTATTCACTCCTTCTAGAAGTTGTAAGCAAGTCATTGAATACTACTGTGCCCTGTGTTGGGTGCTGAAGACATAAAGATAAGAAGACATGTTCTCTGTCCCCATGGCACTGGTCTCATCACTAGTCTGTAAACCACAAAATGGACAATTAAAATTTCAATAACGTAAGTAGAATGCCTGGATTACTAGTCTCTAAAGTGAAGTAGTAGCATTGAAGGACCACCAAATCTGCCCCCAAGAATCAGGGACAAAACTGTTTCTTAAGAAAGTGTACTTAGTGGAAGAACAAGCCTAAGGAAAGAGGCTCTCTAAAGGGGGCCTGGGAGGTGGGTGATTTGTAGCAATCTTCAAGATGTGTGATATGGAAACTTACTATAGCCAGTTGCAGGCTACCAACCTTACAAACTTTATAAGTATTGAATAATTGACTCTGATCTGCTCAACTTAAGTAGTACTTAGATTTCAGCTACTTAAGTTACATCTCAATTACTACTTAAGTTGTACTCTCAAAAAAAATTTTTTTAAATCAGTAGGCAACATTTCTAAGTAATTATTGGAATGCTTCCTCCTCCTATGATTACTATTCTTGGAATCTTCTCTAGAGAAAGGAGATAAAATTCCTAAGTGCTAAAACTGCAAAGAAGCTATAGAAATGTATGAGTGTAGGGAAGTGCTTACTAAATTAAGAATTTCAGAATGGGCCTTAAATCCCTGAGACTAGGCCATTGAGCACAGATATAAACACTTTATACTTGCCTTTATTTTAAAAGGAGTCAATTTTTTTTCTTGTTAAGGAAAAACAACATGAAACCTGAACTTAGGAGGAAAATAAGCAATCATGCAAATCTTTGATATCTGCTTACAAATTGTAATTTTTATAATTTCTTTTTGTGAAAATTATACTTTGTATTAATTCTTGTGTGTAACATGTGTATACACATATATACACACACACATTTCCATTTCTTTCGGACTAGTCACAAATTACATTTGAACTAAATGTTTCTACAACCTACTGGTTGTCCCGTGGAATTACAAAACTGAAAGCTTCCCCTTTTCTAACAGTACAAACAGTTCAGAATTACCAGATTAATAAAATTATTGTGGAGAATGAAAAGCATTGCTTCTTTAAAACCAGATCTACTTTTATATATTCTTCTATGTTAATAAAGTTGATAGTACATAATGTTCTGCAGTATCTTTTCTCTTTTTCCCCATGAGAAATCAGTTTCTTTGCATCATAATAAGTCAAAACCCTCTGTACATGTAACAAGAAATATTAGTGGTATTATCTTTTTTTTATTAGTGGTATTATCAAAGAGTTCTTGCACATGAATACAGGTATATTTCTTAAACTGACATCAAAAATTGTCCTCCTAGAGACAGCACCTGCTATATACAAATATATGAGCCAAAGGCCAAAATAAACTTTTCAAGACAGATGTAGGGACACTTTTGATTTACCCTGTATTTGTAACCTTTATCTTCAGCACCCTATGAAGTGAGTAGGTGATGGTATCCCCATTTAACATACAGATGTATCCCCATTTAACATACAGATAAATTATGGCACAGAAAATTTATGCTTATCTTTCCTGGCTCAGTCTGAAATTGAACCCATTTTCTTAATAGCTGGTCTTGAAGTTTAAAATCAAGAGTAGTAACTTAAAATATGTAATGATGTTAACTTAATGAAGTACAGATTAGATTTAAACTGTTCTTTATGCTATAGATGTTTTGTTCCCTTGTTTTTAGAATAATAATATTCCTACCCCCCCCCACCCACCTCCGAACCCCGTTTTCCTTTTGTAGAAAGCGGAAGGAGGATTAGTGGATAATTATATTGCTGTGATTGCATCACCTGTGTGTTATTTTTTTTTTTTTGATTGGCTAGTTCTGTATTAAAGATTCCTACTAGTTAAAAGTCTCCCTCATCCAACAGTTTTTATTAGATAATTTTGCCTTGAGTTGTTTTACAACCTAAATCTGCTTACCTCAACTTAGTTTTGTACTTTAAATTTTTGTTCTGAATTTTTTTATTAGTTTACCTTCACCTTTTTTATCATCCTTCCTATTTCAGTTTTTTAATTCCAATGCCAATGGCAACATGCACTCACCATATAAAACTATAGCTTGAGTTGTCCTCTTGTTGCCAGCTGTGGAGTTTGTGTGCCACTCAATGTATATGTACTAATAACTCTTCCCTAGAGAGATGTCTTTTATGGAATAAGTGTCTAAGCTTTTATAAGGAGATACAGGAATTAACTGCTTTGGATGATTACAATTGCAGATTCTAAAGCACTGTATGGAACTTTAATCATCTCAATCACAAAAAGCACCTCGTTGTGGACTCAAGGCTATGGTTTAAGTGCTTAGAGTTTATTATATTTCCTTCATACATGTTTTCTGAAGTAAAAAAAGATGTAAGTCCTATAGACTGGGTTGGCTTGTTTTCATGTTGTTATTTATTTATTTGGCTACATCACACTGGGAAACTTACAAAGATCATTTAGATTTTAGAAGGTGAGTTAGCTTAGATATGATTATTTTACCAAGCTAACAGTGTTTCCTGAAGGTGGCCCCCAAAAAGGAAACTTACCTAATAAGTGATGAGCACTGTAGTTTTTTCATTTAAATTCAACCATTAATGATTGCTTCCCTTCACTCTGCCACCTAGACTTGAACTTTAAAAATAATTTAAGAAAGCATTGTTTTCATTAATGAAGATTTAATGTAAATTTATTAAATATGTTTTTATACAAAATGAATATGTTATATCTGGATAATTTCAGTTTTGTGTAGCCGTGTATTAGGGCTTTTTCTATTTTATAAGCCTCTTTTTGTATAGAGAAGTAGAATTAATCTGCACAATGTATTTTATCTAGATAATCATTTTCTTACTTTGATGAATTTACTACATTGGAAATATCTACCCTGCTTTAGAAATATTAACGTTTGCTTTCTTTCTGCCTAATTTTTGTATAATCTCTAAATATAATAAAGTAAAATATTTCATTTATAGGCCCTTTGAAAGTAGAACATTTTTAAAAGCAGGTAGGTGTCTCCACACTACTTTTCATGAAGCGTTTTACCCATTCAAGCAGACTTTTAAAAACAGCTTGTTTTGATAGCAGACTTTTCTCCTGTGGGCCTTCAGCCTTTGCTTCCTGGCAGCACCTTTGGTGCGAAAAGAGAGTGATCAATTGGAAGACTATCAGTGCCAGCATGCATAGAGTGATAAGTTAACACACCACTGGGAATTTCTAGGGCCCACCAAGATACTTCACTTCTAATGTGCTAACAAGCTCATTTTTCTACCTCTTGCCTCTTCAGTTATTTTTTTTCTCAGAAGAGCTTAGAAGTTGAGTGCATCAGGCATAATGAAAAGCTCTGTAGGAGGGAGAAGCAATAACCCCATTTTTCCCTTTTCAGCCAAATAGAAAATTAGTTTCTGGTAATACACAAAGGCCAGTATTTTTTGTACAAGGGGCACTGCTGTGAATCAAAGGACTCTATTAACTGCAGAAAATTCGGCAGCTGTGAATCTCCCCCAATGAAAAAAGTACTTTCCAACAAGTTGTGAGATATGTGGTATTATTTAGATTGTACCATCAGTTTCATCCTCTTCCATTTATAACCATATACTCCTTTTAAAAGTGTGCTATATTACTCGTCTATGTTAAGACTCAAAAATGTCCACATTATCCTCATGTAAAATCTTTGATGCTGATCATTTTAATATGCATCTTTTCCTGTTGCTTCCCACCTCAGAAGTAAAATTTTTTTGAAGTTCATCCCCAGTGTACAGAATGGAAAGTAATAGATTGCCAGGAATTGGAATTTAAGGTTATTTTAATATTTGATACATAAGATAAATCATAATATGAAAGCCACTTAGAGAGCAAAAGATACCACAATCAAAGTCAAGTGCGTAATGAATATAGTCTAACCTTTAACTCCTACTTTTTTTTTTTCCTCTTCTTAGTAAACTCTTGTAAATGTAACTAACTGGTCATGGTATCTCCCGTTGAATTATCATTTAAAATTATCTTCCTCTCAAATTATTTTTTGGGGTCTTGTTGGCTTAGTCTACAATTTCTAGAATTTTACAACTATATAATAATTGACTGCAATTTTTAAAAAATAAGGAATTTTGAGGGGAAATATTAAAGTGGACTTTGGAGGGAAATTCAGTGGGCAAAAAAAGAAGAATCAGTAGACAAATGTTTATTATCCTTATTTAAATATCTTATGTAAAGCCTGTCAGCATAGCACACTGAGTACCACAGGGAAACTTTTAAAAGTTTTAAAGGAAAGGTTAACTGATTTCTCAGTTCAGGAACTATACGACATGAAGTCAGCATGTGAGTTTTTCCTGATAATTGTATGTTGCTGCCTGCTGCTCTACATTTTGACAGCCATTTCCATAGTTGCTTTCGTGAACAACAGAAATATTCTCTCTCTTTCTCGCCCTCTCTGTGCTAACAGCACAATCAGGCCTGCTAAAACAGGAAGCCTGGAGTGGGTTGTTCAAAAGCAACAACACTTCAAGGTAGTGGTTGCTTGTCAATAATATCAGAGAAGAAAATGTGGTGAAAGGGAACTTCAGTATTTTTCTGTCAGTGTCAGTGCCCTGGAGATGCTTTGTTAGACAGCATTTAGGAGTCCTGTAGACTCTTTGCAAATATTCCTGCTTGTTTCAGTGTTATAATTGACTAGGTATTTTTTCCCGGCATACAGATTCAGCTATGTATTTTTCTTAGCCGCATGGAGTTATTCGAGGATTACAGCAACAGTAGCCTTCCATTCAAAATGAGAACAATTGTTGAGAAAATGCAGGGATTTTATAAAAAGAAGATACGTAGGAATTTTTCATAATAAATCGTTACAAATGAAAAACAATTTTGGACATAGTATCTTAAGCAACATTACAATATTTATTGCATGGCTTTTGAGAGTAAATCTGCAGATGGAACCTGATTAACAAGATAAGATGAGCCTAGGCTGATAGAAATTTCAGCCTAGACTCCTGATAGAAATTGAATCCTTTCTCAAATAAACCATCAACTTCATTCATTTCATTAGTATTACTGTAATTATTATCTAATAAATGTCTCCCTGTTAAGCTGTCATTTATAGTGGGATCATGAAGAGTAAACTTAGGTTAAAAACTGTATTTTTGCTCTTTAAAAAGCCACATTGTTAATAATATATAACAATAATTAGTGAATAATTCTATTTATTAAGAAGTAATAGCTTAGCATCATAGCAGTCCTTTTTGATAAGATTTTTTTTCCAGTATAAGCTGCATTTAAGTTTATCCTTAACCAAAGGAAAATCAGCTATGAGGAGAGAGCACGATACCTGCAAACAATTGTCCAGCACCACTTAGAACCAACAACATTTGAAGATTTTGCAGCACAGGTTTTTTCTCCAGCTCCCTACCATCATTTACCATCTGATGCCGGTAAGATTAAAAGCAAGTATTAGTTATTTGTTATTGAAGCTTGAAATGCAGTACCCTTTTGTTCTAAAAACTTGCTTGAAAAAATTTCTAATAATGAAGTACAAATTTTTTATCACTTTAATTTTTGAATTTGGCCTTTAAATTTGATTTATGGTTTCTTTTACCTAAATGCAATTCCTTAAAAAAGTCAACAATCTTCATAAAAGTACATGTACCATATTTTATCTGAGCTAATGGTCAGTGACTCTTGCATCTTCTGGAATCATTTCTGAAGTATCTGCAAAAGAAATACAAGTTAAGCACGCACTCTCAATTTTAGAGAATCAAATTTTATGGCCAAGAATATTACCCCCTCATCTCTGATTTTACAGATAAAGCTAAAATAACTGGTCTAGATGTAGAAGCACTTAATATTTTAATAATTAAGGATTATAAGAGGGTACTGCATTTTACAATTAACTAATTTTGAAGAAATCAGTAAGAAAATAAATGACTCATGGCCTTCCTATTCTGTAATATCTTGCACTCCTTATGATTGTTTCATTTATTTTATTTTCCCTCTTTAGATCATTAAATATCAGTTCTGTTTATCTGAAGGTAAGACAAAGTGTCAACCAAAACACCCTCTGTTCTCCCATTTCCTTTTTTCAAAATTAGCAAGCTCTAAGCTTGTAACTTAAACAATAAGTAAACTTAACACTGTCTGGTTCATACTAAACATTTCAGAAATTGTCACTAAATTTTTTCCGGAATTATACTGACTAACCCAGGTCTGCATGAAACACTAACATGGTTTGGGGAGAAAAATAACTGATAATAGAATCCCTTCATTGAAATTAGTTATACCTTGTTATATTGACTTTTTTTTTTCTGTTTCTCAGCATGAAAAAGTAGTACTATTGAACTGAAGTAGCGTGACTTTGTATTTTGTGATGTGTTGCACTGTTATTGGATATCCTAATTCATCAAATGGTAACTCTCTGTGTGCCTTGCACTTCACTAGGCACCTGAAATACAAAGATGACTGTTGTAATGGTATCCAACGGAAGCAGGAAAAGAGAATATAATATGCTTGAAGTTTATCATAATAAACGTTCAAATTTTCTTTGTGTTAAATAAGTTTTCTTTATATTAAATAAATTCAAAAGGCACAACACTTCTTTTCTACGCTATTTGGAAAAAATTACTGTAATTCTCAATTGAGGTTTAGTTAATGAAATTAAAGCTTCCAATCCTGTCATCATTAAATTGCCATTAAAAAAATAATTTTACAAAAACACTTAGATCCCTTTCAAATACTTTAAAAGACCTAGCAAAGAGAAAACCATATTAGACCAGGTTGAATCTTTCGAAAGAGATTAAAAAGTCCAAGATTCACTTTAGTGGATTGACACTATCCAAAATTAGTTTGGCATTTAAAAAGATGGTAAAAGAGAAATATTAAAAATAAATTAATGAACAGCAAAATAACTAATTAATTATATCTGGCAATTTCCTTGTTTAATAATGGAGAAGATCTGATAAAATGTCAGACTATATTAAAAGAAATATTAATAACACTTGCATATCATAGAGTCAAGCTATAAATTGCACAAGTAAAAAATATTGATAATAATACCACACTTGGACTAACGTTTCCCCTTAAATTGATAAAGGCTGTTCGGTTCTCATGTGTCATTGTTTACCAGCTGTACTCTTTCATATTTGTCATCTTAATGTACTCCTCATATTTGCATGTTATCCTGCACATTTGGCCACGTATTGTAGAAGTAAGTAGTATTCTCACTTCTGAGACATTAAAGGATGCTACAGCAGCCAAGTGAAGTTTCTGTTGGCTTCATTTTTAATGTGTCTTACAAAATTATTGTGTAAGTTGTTTCAAATAACATTTATGATAATATAAATAGTAGTAAAAATATGAATTTGAACATAAACCTAATATTGTGCTACAAATTTTTTCAGTTAATTTTTAAAAGTTGTCACTGCCTTTAAGAACCATTCTCTAATTTTAACATGCACTCTAATTTTCAAAAGGGTGTTTTTGCTTGTAAATAACTTGTGCCAGTATTACTAAATACATTTCTATTTAAGGTTTTGCAGACTTTAATAGCTATGACAGAAATTTTTATCAGAGTGGTTCTCAGTTCAACAAGAAATAAAAATGAAATATTTACTCTTATAATATCAAAAACTTGGAATCTGAAAAGTAATTTTTTTAGTTATCTCAAATCTTAATTTTTCTATCATAAATCCCATACATACAGAGCTCCCTTTAAAGTTATGTCAAAGTGGTTTGCAAAAATGACATAATAGTGTAAAGTTTTTAATCTTTTTTCTAGCATAAGTATAAAATGTGTTCATCATATTGAAGAAATGGATCCATAATAGCAATTGAGAATCAACTTTAGATATCCTGTGCACACCCAGTGTATATAAAATAATACTTATTAATACTAATGTAATTTGAAATTAAGTTTTAAAGAAATGCCAGGATGGTGATTATATTTTGTCTAACCAACCCTATAACATAATTATGTTCAGTCCAATACTATAGAAAAATACTATTTTTTTAAGATTTCTTAATTTCGTTCAAGATTATTGAAAACCCACTTCCTCGTTAACGGTAACATACATATCAACTGTGATGACATTTAAATCCAAGAATAGATTTTTCCATATAACTTTCAGTATTATTAAAATAGATATGAAAGATTTTGATGCATCGTAGTTGATCCATAAATTTTATAACTGTATTTTCTCAAAATGTACTGTCTGTGGCAGTAGACTGATACTTCAGGGAAATTATTTTTATCCCTAAGGTCATTGAGGGAAATATCGTGATGTCACACTTTGTTGATGTTTCATAACTACGTTAAAATATTATTAGATTTTTCCTGTCTTTTATTTTTTAAAAATTACAGGAAAAAAATCCCTTTATCTTTGTCAGGCATGTGTGTGGAAAATATCAAAAGGTTTTAGTGACTTATTAAAGTTTTTTCATATTTACAAATACCTCTCCTTTAACTGTAAACTTTAAAATGAAATTACTGCTCCTCTTGGCCAGATTACACTGTTTGTTCAATATGTACATATTTCTCCCAATGTTACATTGTCTTTTCAACATTATCTTTTTTTATTTTGTAACAAGAGAAATTCTAGAATGTCAATGAGAAACAGGATCCTGTTTCACTGAAAATATATAGAAAATATTAATTGGTTTGACTTTCTCAACATTAAAAATATAATTTTTTGGAGTATTATGTCTTTAAGTTAGAGATTTTAGTTATTTAACAATTAAAGGATAGATGTTTCTCTGTGTCTTCATATATACCCATATATTCATTCACAAACACATATATCTATACAGATATAACATTTTTTATAATTACTTTTAGGGAATATGTGAGTTTCTATTTAAAGGAATACTATGAAAGTTAATAAAATTCAAATATAGTTTTTATGACATCAAATTCAGAGATAATCTAGGTGATTATGAAAACATAGAGTAGTATCCAGTCTACCTTCTAACCTGTTTTGCTGTTAATTTGCAAAATCTATATTCCCATATGTAGATAGGATGGGATTTATGATGGTCAGATCTATTTCTTTGAATCTTTGAGTCAGATGGATCATCAAAATTTAACTGTTGCTTTAGGTGACCTTTTTTAGCTCAGTGTCTTTCTTTAAAAGTTATTTAAAGTAAGGCTTTGAAATGATCTGAAAGAAAATATTTTAGCTCCTCCGAAGATAGTTGTTTTATAAATATCCTAAATATTAGTAAGTGCCAACAGAAGAATGTTTCCTGGCCAGGCGGGGTGGCTCACACCTGTAATCCCAGCACTTTGGGAGGCCAAGGCAGGCAGATCACCTGAGGTCAGGAGTTCAAGACCAGTTGGGCCAACATGGAGAAACCCCATCTCTACTAAAAATACAAAATTAGCCAGGCGTGGTGGCACATGCCTGTAATCCCAGCTACTTGGGAGGCTGAGGCAGGAAAATCACTTGAACCGGGGAGGCAGACGTTGCAGTGAGCCAAGGTCATGCCATTGCGCTCCAGCCTGGGCAACAAGAGTGAAACTCTGTCTCAAAAAAAAAAAAAAAAAGAAGAAGAAGAAGAAAATTTGTTTCCTGCAGTATATAACATAAGCTATAAATTTCTTTATTTAGTGGTTTGGTGTTTCGTTTTTTGAGACAGAGGCTACATTGCAGTCGCGCGATGTTGCCTCACGGCAACCTCCGCCTCAGGAGTTCAAGCAATTCTCCTGCTTCATCCTCCCCAGTAGCTGGGATTACAGGCACACACCACCACTCCTGGCTGATTTTTGTATTTTTGGTAGAGATGGGATTTCACCATGTTGGCCAGGCTGATCTCAAACTCCTGACCTCAGGTTATCCACCCACCTCAGCCTCCCAAAGTGCTGGGATTACAGGTGTGAACCACCACACCTGGCTAGTTAATGTTTTTAAAAACAGATTCCTATTCCTATTAATCATTAGATGAAATTATAAGCAGTGAAATGTATTCTGTTTGATACTTGAAACTTGGAAATTTGGCTTATATATTGTTCACCAAGAGGCAAGTAAAATAATCTTAAATAAGACCCACTAACCTTTTGTGACAACTTCTAGGTTCAGTTTCCACATAGAACATTTATTCAGATGTGAAATTTTTGTATTAAAAATAATTGTGCTATTACTGAGTGCCGGGCACTGTGCTCAGTACTGTACATACATTCCCTCATTTAATCTTCATTGCAGTTCTATGAAATTTAAAAGAAAAAATGCTTACCCAGCACCTGATACTTCATCAAGCTAGTATTCCAACCTAGACTTATCTGACTTCAGAGGGCATGATCTTAACTATTACAGTTACCCATTTAGTCGAAGTATTTTCATCCCCTTCCTGCTGTCGATAGAGAAGGGAGCGAGAAAGAGAGATATTGCCCAATAACCTGTCATATTTACCAATTATAAATTGTTAAAGATTTTTATTTTAAGGATTTTACTTTCCCACCCATTGAAAAATCTTTTTTTCTTTTCTTTCTTTTTTTTTTTTTTTTTTTTCCATATAGCTTTAAGGTTGCCCAGGGAGAAGTATGAGGTTTGAAATCAAACTATTCTGGATTTAAATCCTAGTTTTGTCGGTTATTATCCATATGAACGCAAATTAATCTATTCTTCCCATTTTTTCATTTGTAAGGAGGAAGTAAAATATGACAAGCTTGGCCTGATTTGTTCTAAATCTGAAATACTAGTAGTTCTTGAATATATCTTAAAATGAAACCACGTTTGTCTTTATTTCTCTACTATTTTGAATTGTGTTATTTCCTGGCCAGGCATGGTGGCTCATGCCTATAATCCCAACACTTTGTGAGTCTCAGGCAGGCAGATCACTTGAAGCCAAGAGTTCGAGACCAGCCTAGCCAGTATGGCAAAACTCCATCTCTACTAAAAACACAAAAATTAACTGGGCAGGGTGGCACACGCCTGTAATCCCAGCTACTCAGGAGGCTGAGGCAGGAGAAGCACTTGCAGCCGGGAGGCAGAGGCTGCAGTGAGCTGAAATCATGCCACTGCACTCCAGCCTGGGTGACCCAGTGAGATGCCGTCTCAAAATAAATAAATAAATAAAAATTAAAAATAAATTGCATTATTTCCCTTATGATATTCAGTGCTATCCATGCTAATCTTAATCACTTACCAGCTTTAAAAATATTAAAAGTAAGGTTGAGTAGTCTTTAACCTTTAACATAAGGTTCTATTTCATAGGACTATCAACATAAGAGAGGATAAATTTCCCTCAAACTAAATTTAATGGTATGCTGTGCTTTTCACATTTGAACCATAATATTTTGTACAGGTGGTCATTTTCTTCAAAAATATTCATCATTTCTATCCCTTTCTAATCCTAGTCTGTTCTGATTCCAAATGTATCAGTTTTTATTTTTCTGTTTCATAGCTTTATTATGTAGCTATACGTACTGTGCACCTACTATGTGCACAGTAAGTATCTTTGCATATGTAATCTTAATTCCTGTGACAACTTGACAAAATAGCACGTATTATCTCCATTTTACAAATATGAAAATGTCTCAAGTCAGTTTGCCCAAGATCAAACAGCTAGTAAAGTGACACAGAGTCAGCATTTAATCTAGGACTGTCTATGCCCGTGTTCTTTCTAAGACAGCACATCGTCTCTGCAGTTCAGTATTAATTGAAATTGCTTTTAAAGACACAATATTTTCTAAGGCTATATTTGCCCAATAATTAGCAGCTTTAAGCCAGTCATGCCTGTCACCGAACAGTACAAACAAAACCACAATAAAAAACAATCTTTCGAGCTTCCTCTTGCAATCCTTGTACATCCCAAAAGTCATATTCATTATGTTATTTGTAATAATAGTTTATTGTAATCAGTGTGCAACATATGAATCAATTTATTATTCCATCAAGTTACACAGTCTATGTGAGCACTGAAAATAGTGTTAGTAACAGATACAGTATGCAGAAACATAGGAGCCCATGTGTACTTTTAAAAACCTTATCCATGAGGATATATTAATAATAGAAACAAATCAGCATTCTTTATGACCCAGGTAGTATAAATCAACAGGTAGAATAGGATGTGAAATGAAATGTAGGTTGTTAATACATTTTTTTAACATCTAAAATATTTGTAGAGTTTGGGAATATTGAATATGTTACCACAAATATAATTTGCTAAATTGTTAGGAAATATTGATAACTATACACCACACACACTAAAAATCCTAATTTGACACTGTTGAGGAAGGGAGATTTCACTCTGAAGGCAGTGAGGAAGACATGGAAGAATTTTTTTTGAGGAAAATATTCTTTGAGTTTGTCATAATGTAGAACAGTACTCTCTAATAAAATCTTCTATGGTAATGGAAATGTTCTATATCTGCACTGTCCAATGAGGAGGCCACTAACTACGTGTGGCTGTTGAACACTTCAAATATGGCCAGTGTACTGAGGAACTGAATTTTTATTTAATTCATTTAAATTCAATTACTTTAAACTTAATGTGGCTGTGGCTACCATATTGGACAATGCAGCTCTAGAGATTTTATGTCTGAGTGATTAGGATAACATGCCACCAGTACAGTGAACACTTTAAAAGGTAGATATTTACAGAATCTCTCATAGACATTTTTTCTTCTTTTCTTTTTTCCTATTTGAACTTGTTTTGTTAGTTGGTAAGTATAACATTTGAATTTACAAAGCATTGTCATTGTGAACCATCACCCTAACTCATTGCATGCCCAATTATATTTCATGATAAAACCTTTATTCCTCTCTCTGTCTCTGCTCCTCAGTTAACACCTATAAAATTCTGCACTGTCTTCTCTTTTGCTTTCTCTCTTCTGCTTGCTACTCCATTTCTTCATTCACAACAAAGAAAGAAATGCAGTGATAGTCCTCTTCCTCCCAAAACCTCCGCTAGAAAACATTGGCCATCTCAAGGTAAACAGCAATGGGAGGGCCTCTCATGATGGCCGGGAATTATATGCATATCAGAAAAGCATGAGCAACTGCTTTTCACTTTCCTTCTCCCATCCATCTGCAGTGCTTCCCTAAAGGGGCCATGGATTCATATTCTCTTGTAAATTTTCCAGTATGGGTCTGCTATGAACCAATTCAGATCTTCGGGAAGAGTTTTAAGTGTTCTAAAAAAACATACAAAGACTCATTCTTTTTCTTTTTTTTTTTTTTTCTTTTTTTTGCTTTTGAGATGGAGTTTCACTCTAGTTGCCGAGGCTGGAGTGCAATGGCACAATCTTGGCTCACCACAACCTCCGCCTCCTGGATTCAAGCAATTCTTCTGCCTTAGCCTCCCGAGTAGCTGGGACTACAGGCATGCACCACCATGCCCGGCTAATTTTGTGTTTTTTAGTAGAGACAGGGTTTCTCCATGTTGGTCAGGTTGGTCTGGAACTCCTGACCTCAGATGATCCGCCCGCCTCAGCATCCCAAAGTGCTGGGATTACAGGTGTGAGCCACCGCCCAGCCAAAGACACATTCTTAATTGCTTAAGACATCTCTAAAGATCTTCACCCCTTACTGAACTTTTTGTTTTTCTAATGAACATTCAGTAACTTCAGTTTAAGCACAAACATTTCATATATATGAAAGTGCTAGCATAATTATTTCCTAGTTTGAAGTGTCAAGGAGGTGCTACATTGGCTAACAAATATGCCAAGTCTCCCTGTAAAGTAAGGAGATGTATATATTCAGTTAAACTTGCAACCTCTGTAGTATTTTTGTTTGTAACACACATAAAGAAAATTTTCATGTACTTAAGACCCAGAAAATCTGGATTAAAATGTCTTAAAATATCCAGAATTTTTTGTTGGTGTTATTCTATTTTCAGATTTTTTTTCCTGAGGGACTTTTATTTTTAATGTGATTTTAATTAATGACTCATTTTGCTTAGAAAATATTTGAGAGCCTACAGTGTACAAGGTTCTATAGTATTCCTGCATATTAGAGAATGATTCATAGAAATAAAGTACAGAGGTAAAATACTACTTTATAAATGATGCAAAGAACTTTCCCATTTGATTTTGTTTTACTTTAAAAATTGTGTATCTACTAATTCTGCTGGTTACCTGCTTGCTTATTATTGAATAGTATACCTGCAAAAGTTTAAGTTAATGAAAACCGTTGTTTATCTCTTTTAAATTAAGACATTTTAGGGGAGTCAGTTTGCCTTTTTTTAACTGACTTTCAGATGAGAATCCTTTCCTCCCCTGGCCCACAAATTTATCTTGCTCCTCCTTAAAACCTTATTTAAATACCTAGCATGTATATATGATCTCATAATGCTGAGTTCCTTTTTTGTTTTGTTTTGTTTATAAGGACCTCTTGTGAAACTGAGTTCCTTTTTGAAACCCATGGTTCCAAAACTGTTTGGAACTGTTTGGTTCTGTTTTTTAAGTTTAAGTAGTGAAGGCCCTTTTCTTGGTTGTACCCTGAATCCTAGAGATAGGAATTGGTCCTTTTCACCTGCTTCCTGAGCCCTTCCCTGCATGCTAATGGTGCTTTGGATTCTTGTTCTTTCTAGCCCAAGGATTTTGCTTCCCACTGCTTTTTCCAGGGTTCTACTCCTGGGAATGATGATTGGCGCTTTTTGCTAATAGAATGACATGAGTCACCAGATTGCTGGGTTTTAAATACATTAATAGGCTATTGTAACAAGCAAGTTTGGGGCTTGCTTTTTCCCTCAAAAGACCTTATTAAGGGATGGGATCCTTGCTGCAGATTAGTAGCAGAAGGATTATTTCTTAGGAGATGAGAGGCTGGATAACTGTAGTAATGCTCTTCCTGTTTCCTACAGGCTCCTACCCAGAGATTCTACCCAGTGAAACTCCCACAGCAACGCAGGTAGATGGGGCTGACCTGGCCTCTCCAATGTCTCCTCGAACTAGCAAAAGCCGCATGTCCATGAAGCTGCGTCGTTCCTCTGGCTCAGCCAATAAATCCTAAGGAGACAAGCAGCCCAACAGTGATCAGCTGTAGCCACCTTAGCACGAACATAGGGTTAACCCTTTCAGGCCTTCATGTCTGCCATAACATGCATGTTTCTTCCTGTATTTGAGAAAACACTGGATTTAAATAATTTTAAATAATTTGTAGCTTAATATTAAAAATTTGGGTTATTTATTATTTCATTTTTTCCCACAGTCCAAGCTGCCATATTTTGAGGGCGGGGGAGAGTTTTATTCTACACCCTTTACCTTCCTAATTATGTCTAAGTGGTTTTAATCTTTAATTTCACGGTTAACTTTGAGCCAAAATATAATTGGACAGGTAGTCTCATTATTTTATTTATTGTGCCCCATTGCAACTTTATGGTTCAATAAATATATAATTTTTTTACAAATGTAAAATTTTAAATTTAAGCATTTGTAAAGTTATAGCAGAAGATGCACCTGTTAATGCACAGAATGTGTACAGATTATTTATGTTAAAAAATAAAACACTCAAAATAAATGATCTTTAGCATCTCAAACTCCAACTGAAATCATTTTGGTATTAACCGTTTCTTCCCAAAGCAATATCTCATTTATTGGCTGTGTGGGTGATGCCATGTTATATACAATAACTAGAAAAATCACTGTGCTGAACTTTGATTTATGTTTAGCTTCCAAGTATTTTTCTAATGTTTTGCATTTTAAGTGGTATCACTGTTAAATGCCATTTGTTTTCAGATTGTGGCCTTTTATTATTGACTGCTAGATCCTGGTGTATCTGTGTTCATTTTTAAGCACCAAAAAGAAGATAGGGAAAAAAAGAAAGAAAATTTTCTGATATAAATATGTTGTTCAAATTATGTGTATTATTAAAAAAAGGAAAAGGAATATGACCCAGGAGTCTAACTTAAATCTAAAATTGTTAATACTGAACTTGCAGGTGCAGGTTGATATACATTCCACCCTTTAGAAGTATTTTCTTACAGTAGATAAGCTGCTCACATTTTGTTTTGAATGGGCATCTCCTGAGGAAATGTAGCATGACATTGGTACTAACTGCATGTGTAAATATATCATACTGGCAAACCATAAAATATAAATTATGTATCATCATTTATGTAGTATCTATAATTTGTAGCAGTGGGGGAAAAAGATGACATGGTATTTAATAATACAATAAAAATATTCTTATCACTTCCTATGCATGAGTGTTGATTTGTCTTCTATATTTCATATATTTTGAATAAGCAGGGCTATATGATTAGTAGGAAGATATAAAGCATGAACCTAGATTCTTAGTTAATCATGAAAATGAACTGGAATTCCCTTTTCAAGATACATTCCAACGTATTTCTCAGAGATCCTACCACAGGCATTAAAAACACAGGAAATTTTACATCTTCATAAAGACTGGCCAGAAACTTCACCCAGTGCAGTTGGTTAGATCATTAGTTTAGTTCAGCTTCATTTTTTTTTTAAATTCTTAAATTTTACTTTGTTTTACAATATACATTCAGCAATAAAACTTTGTACTGACAAGTTTTCTAAGACAGCCTTTCAGAACTTCTGTGCACTCAATTTTTTGCTTCTTATAAATGGAAAAACTAAAAGTCCTGTGTAAGCTGATGTAAAAGATAAACAAATGGATAAAGAGTCCTTGAACAATATAGAAAATTTCCTACAGCAAACGTGAAGAATTACAAAAAGGAAAATCAGAATAACTGCATACATGTTTCTAAAGTGCTATCAATAAAAATCTGATGGATTGATGATATATAACAATATGGAGTAAAAATACAAACCTGAAATAGTGAAATTAGCACCATTAAAATATTTTTTTCATCTTCAGCTAACACTGTTCGCTAGCTCTAAATATATACATACATATATTTAAAATATATTTTCTGTTGACATTTTTTGGGGGGATGTCTTTTTTAGATTTAAAGGCTAGTACATATCCCTTGCCTTTTGATGCTCAGTCTTTGTAGCCATACTTCAAAGGAAAGTTTTTCATTGCATTCCTGCACCATTGCATTCATTTGCAAAATACAATATTTCCGTCTGTATTCTATCCAAATGGGTCACTAACATTCTAAAACAGGATAATGACATTGGGGAGTTAAGAAATGTAGCTTTGAAAATAGGCTGTGTTCAACAGTATTCTTAAGACAAACACAGAACACAAAAGCACAGTCTATATACATTTATTTGGTGGTAAGCATCTTACAGATATGGGCTATCTGTCAAGCAGGGCTCAGCCAGTGTCCCAAACTCTGGCTAGTAGGGAATTAGTACAGAATGTACACTGAAATGCTTTACCAAAAAAAAAAAAAAAACAAGTTGCTGCTGAAAAGAAAATACTGAATATTGAGCAAATTGCCATTCAGTGCCTTAGTGGATTATCGGTGTTAACATCTTCCTTAAGCTGTACATATTTTCATAATGAATACACAGTATGAGATTTACAGCAGAAGCATTGAACAATTTGGGTGAAACCCCATTAAAACAGTCAAACTTGAGGAAACGACTTCTGTATTACCAAAAAGCCATTTAAGGAAAGGTTTGAAGTAGCTCTTCCTGAATACTGCACACAAAACAGCTGAAGGTGAGAATTTTAGGGGGTGTCTCAACTCAAGTAGCATCCTCCCCACCTCCAAACACCAACTTAAGAATGTACATATAATTGGGCAAAGGAAAGTTTACAGGGGAGAGCCCCACACACCCTAAAAGCAGCAAACCTCTTACATTTTCTGCCCACAGACACAGGTCTTGAATCTCCTTAAGTTTGGCACCAATCACATAACTTAATTCACAGAATATACAATGCAAAATATCTGACCCTATTGAGACAGAAGCTACATAGGCGCCTGTGATGGCAAGAGAAAAAAAAATGGTGACTACCAAAGAGTAGCCAGAACCCTTTGTGGACATTGAGACATGCACGCATTCACCGCGACTTTCCATAGGAATTACAAACCATATAGGATTCGTTAGGGTCTCAAGAGTTTTAAGGGGAAAAAAGTCCTATTTTAGTAGGGAAAGTGAGAAGGATTTAAAGCTGACAGTCTTTGATCTCAAGGGTTTGTACCATATACATACCTGCTCTAGAGAGGGATTTTACATTTCACTGTCCGTTCTTCTGGTGGATCACTGACTATAGGGAGAATTTTAGGAGAAAAAACATAGGAAGAAATGAAAGTAAACTTGCAAGTTGAAGAAAGCCCCACAGAAATTCCCATCTGTTTCCTGCAAGGCCAACCTCGAAATCATCCTTGTCTCTTGGCCCTCAGCAGCCAGGCCGCAGTGGCATCTGCAGCAGCAGCACTTGCCGGCTTTCTGAGGGGTGGCACTTATTGATGTGCCGGGTCAGCCCCGGAGAGCTAAAAAAAGTGGATGGGCAGTGCTTGCACGAGAAAATTTGCTGGGCACTACTGTCAGATGGCTCGCCTGGGCCCGGCGTTTCGGGAGGAGCCCCCGCCAGAGCGGGCAGGAGCAGCTCCTCGCGGACAGCATGCCACAGCCGGTGCTTCTCCCTGATATCTGCGGACGGGAAGTGCGCCCCGCACAACGGGCAAGCGAAGGCGAGTGGGGCACCATGTTCGGAGCCAAAGCCCGGCGTTAGCGCACGGGCCGAGCCCGCCTCGTGTGTGCTCAGGTGTTTGCGCAGATAGGCTTGGCGACGGAACTTTTTGTGGCAATACGGGCACACAAAAATCTCAGAGCCCCCGCCACCACTGGTACTGCTCGGCACAGGCACCCGGCGCCCCAACACCCCCTCCGTGTAGGGGCCCTGTGGTAGCGGTGGCTCTGGGTGTGTCAGCACCTGGAGGCCCTGCCTTGCGGCGCTGTCCTGGTGCTGATCCGCCCTGGAGCTGTCCCTGGCCTGCGGGTGCTGATCCGCAGTCCGCTCTATCCGGCTGTTTTCCTTTCCCTCCGCCAGAAAAGATGCAATGGCCCCGGAGTCCCGGGAGGACGAAGACGACGAAGAAGGCGGCTTCCCGTCGGCGGAGGAGGCTGTGGTGGCGTTTGCAGCTGCGGGACGCGGCTTGTGCCAGCGGCGATGGGAGGCCAGGTTCGCAGGGCAGCTGAACACCTTGTCACACTCAGGGCAGCGGTACTCGACGCGCACAATGCGGGAGCAGCGGTGCTGGGCCAGCGAGAAGGGGTCTGCGTACTGCTCCTTGCACAGCTGGCAGATGAACTCTCCCAGCGGCGTGCGGCTGCCCCCCAACCCCAGAGGCGGCGCTCCGGGCTCCTCCTCCTTGATCTTCAGGCCCAGGACAGGGGATGTGGTCACCTCATCAGCAAAGCTCAACTTCCTCATGGCCTTTGGCTTCTTGATTCCCGCGGCCGCGGGTCCAGACGTGCAGCCCGTGGGTGCCTTGGCGCGGCGCTCGCCGCCCGCCGTCCGCTTCAGACCCTGCAGGGCGGCCGAGAGGGGCGCAGGGTCCGGCTGAAGCGCGGGCTCTGGGAACGGCGCCCGGAGAGGCAGCAGGAATTGCTCCCCCGAGGTCGGTGCGGCTGCTGGCGCCACGGAGCAGGAGAAAGCGGCAACGGCGGCGGCGCCCCCGGGGAAGGACTCGGCGGAGACGGGCGAGCTGAGGCAGCGCTCCAGGAACGCCCGACGCAGCTCTGCGCCCGCCGGCTTCGCGGGACTGGGACTGGGGCTGGGGCTGGGGCTGGGGCTGGGCCCGGGACCTTCCCTGACACCCGCCCGCCACTCCGCGCCTTCCCGCCCGCCCACCCCCGGGCTCACCCCAGCCGCTCGACATGGAGACCCCGACAGTTCCTGGGCCGCCTCCGCCGTCAGCCCCTTTCCTGGTTCCTCCTGGGTCGGGGGCGCCTCCGGCTCCGTACCGGGCAAGGAGGCGCTGGGAGCCTCCTCCAGGAAGGGCGGCGCCACCTGGGGCCCCAACAGAGGGAAGACACGCTCTGCAAGCCGAACTCGGTATGAGCCGCCTGTCCGTTTAGTTCGCTTCACCAGGAAGCCCCTTGGCATGGTGTAGTCGAGAGCGCTAGGAGACAAGAGGAAAGGGGGCGCCACGGACGCTGAGAGCCGGCCAGCAGATGAACTAAAAGAGCTTCGCAGCGGCTCTCATGCCGGGGCTGTCTTTATAGCTGAGACTCGGGCCCAGGCCCCGCCTGGCCACCCTGGGCTGGTCCGGCCAATCAGGAGTGGGAGCGGGCCCCGGGGGCGGGGCTTTCTCTCGTCCCGACTCATCCGAGTAGACGAATCTGGCGGCGGCGGCGCACGCCCAGCCCCTCCTCACAGCGCCGAGGACCTGCCCCTGCTGCCAGCTGGGTCCGCCTCCCCCTGCCGCCTCCCGGGCGAAGACGCCAGAAAGGTAAGGTTCAGAGTGTAAGGGAGCTAGACATTCCCGCCTCGGCCGCCTCCGCGGAGCGTCCCACTGGGGAGCCGGGCGGAAAGACTACCTCACGACGCCCTACGCGCGGGCCGGGAGCCGGCTTCCCGCCAGGCGAGGGCGTCTGACTGAAAACCTTCCGCCCTGCGCTGAACTGCGAGGGAAAGGGGCGGTGGGCAGAGGATGCGACAGAGACCACGGGGTGGGTGCCCGCAAGGGAGCCGGTGCACCTCCTCTGCGGGTATTGAGTTGATGAGAAGTGCGACCGAGCGGCCGGGCAGCTAACTCCAACGCCCTGTGGCTGCTCTCAGCGGCGGGAGCACGTCCCTCCGCCGGTATCGATCGGGCCCGCGCGCGGCGGCGACACTCGAGAGTTCATCTCCTCAGAAGGGCTCTCAGCGCAGGAGAGCGTGCCTGCCCGCCGCCAGCCTCCAAGCTGGGACTCCCGCGCGCGGCTGGTCCCCGGGCCTCTGCGCTCTTAAGTGCCTCTCCTCGATGGGAGCAGGAGTGGGGAGAGGAAAGGAGGATCTCATTTTCCACTGTCCTCACATAAAGTGGTTTCTCTGGTCACACTTCCCACTTGTACTACCCAGAGCATAACTTAATGCCTAACCGGCCTGTTTAGCATGGAGTAGACTGAGTGAGAAATGCCGGCGGAATCAGCATTACAGCTGCTTCCCGGTACACGCAAGTCATACTTTGCAAAAGGTGTGCTGAAGAGCAAACTCAACCGATTTTCATCTGGCACCCTGCAATGAGCCCGCCACTATTTTAAGAACTAGACGAGGTTTGAAAGTGTTTGGTAACTGAACTAGGCAACAATTAGACTATCTATGAC